AGAAAAAAAATCTGTGTTTGTTGAATAACTAAATTGTTTATTGTTTTTAGGTACACATGTGCGTGCGTGCACACACACATATTCTCTCTTCCATACACACACTTGGAGTATGTGTTTCCAAGAGATTATGTAAAATGATGATGTAAAATGCTCATGTAAAGTATTTCAGAAATACTACTAGACAGTTTACTGAACCCATAACATATGCCACCCCTGAGTGCGGGGGGTTACCTGTATCATCTCCTTTAATCATCACAGCAACCTCTGAGCTGCCTGCAATGTCCTTTCCCAGCACTCCAGCCAGTGGCCCCTTTGCTGTCCCCCTTGCTTCCTTGCAGCCACCTTGGCCTTTTTGCTGTTCCTCAAATCCGAGAAGCAGCTGCCACCTCAGGGCTTTTGCTTTTGCCATTTCCCCTGTCAGGCATCCGTGCGGCTTATCTGACCACGCCATTCAGGTCCCTGTTCAGATATCGCGGAGCACAGTCCTTCCCTGACCTGCTTCTACAGCAGCAGCCCCTCCCTCCACCATCTCTCAGCCACTCTCTCCCTCCTGCCGCCTGGCCTACTCAGGACACGTGTTTATGTGTTTATTTGTTGTCTCCCTCAGGCTTGACAGCAGTGGCATCTCATACACTATCACGTCTGTGCCTAGCTTATCATGTCACATGATAAGCTCACAGAGAGACTTGTTTAAAGAATGAACTCATTTTGCAGAAGACAAAACTGGGGCTCACAGTGATTAATTTTCCCAAAGACTCACATCTTGAAAGTATAACAGAGCCAGGAACTTTCTGTGTCCGGAACTCATGCATGTAATCACTCATTCTTCACCTTTATTTTATCACAGTGGGGACCATAGAAGTTGGGCTGCTGTACTTTGGAAAATGAAAAAGGGAAATTATCAGTTATAAGCCATCCTCCCACCTCAGCCTCCAAGGGTACTGGGAATACAGACATGAGCCACCCCACCTAACCTTTTTTTAAAACAATTTCATTTATAATTTTATTTATTTTTTGTAACAAGGTTTCACTTTGTCACCCAGGCTGGAGTGCAGTGGCGCAATCATGGCTCACTGCAGCCTCGACCTCCCCAGACTCAGGTGATTCTCCTACCTCAGCCTTCTGAGCACCTAGCTGGGACTAAGGTGCATGGTAGCATGCCTGACTAAATTTTACATTTTTTGTAGAGATGCGGCATGTTTCTCAGGCTGGTGTCAAATTCCTGGACCCAAGTGATCTACTCACCTTGGCCTTCTAACATGCTGGCAGGTGTGAGCCACTGTGCCTGCCCTCACACCACCTTTTTAATAAAAAAACTAGAGTCTCACGCTGTGGCCAAGGCTGAAGTGCAGTGGCCTACTTATGACTCATTGTGCCTCATACTCTTGGAGGCACCACAATGCCTATTTTATTGAGATTTTTTTTTGGTAGAGATGGGGTCTTTATGTTGCCCAGGCTAGTCTCGAACTTCTGGCCTCAAGCAGACCTCCTGCCTCAGCCTCCCAGATTGCTGGGGTTACAGACATGAGCCATGACATCCAGCAGAGAGAGATTTTATAAGTAGCTTTAAAACCCATGAAACATGGACACTGACCACTTATTTTCATCCCCACAGAAGGAAGGACAGAGTAAATGAACTTAAATTGTTGCAAGAGAGTTTATTCATCTTTGAAGAGAAGATTATTGATACTGCAGTAGGCCACCAAGAATGAGAGGGTGCTCTGTGGGACCAGCCTGGGTGGGCAGAAGGGTAGAAGGAAGAGAGGAGGAGTCTCCCAGGTGCTCACACCACATCCTCCTGTGTCCCAGGTATCCGTGATCAATGGGACCAGCCCCTTTGCCTATGACTATGACCTCACCCATGTTGTTGCTGCCTACCAGGAGAGGAACGGTGAGTCACAGGTAGAGCTCAGTCAGCCGCTGCTCAGGACTTTCAAGGTTGATGGGGGCAACAGAGACAAGCAGAACTGGAACCCTTGTGATAAAAATGTGAAAAGCTGTGAATGCTCAACGATGGGAGCAAATGTGCTGTCCAGGATTTGTCCTTTTCGTCCTCATCTTCAGACCTGGGACCGCCCCCACCCCTCCAGCATCCCATGGTCCAGAAGGTTAGTGATAGTTAAATGCCATCATTTTCCCACCACTGGCTTGATGAGTTTCCCTTTTAAAAAATGTAAGCCTAATTGAGTTGTTCCCCATACCACACCTATACAGATGCCAAAGACAAATTGCTGTTCATGCTTTTCAGAGAGAAGCAGAGGACGTGGGTGACTCTCCCCACACTAGCAGTCCTGCAGGAGAACAGGAGTGCCCCTGCTTCCTGCCAGAAGGCACAGTGTGCTCATTCCTTACAGAGCTCTAGGCCAGGGCATGTGTTGACTCTGCTCGTTTGGCTGGTCAGTGACTGAGGTTTTCTGTAAAGGCATCTACAGTGTTACTTGGCAAGCAGACGTCATGGAGACGACACACAAACATTTCACAAGGGAGACGACTGCAAATCCAGTATTGCTTTCTGATTTCATGTCATACATTAGCAGCATTTTTCTAATAATAAAGGGAATTCTAAAACAAAACTAAAAAGCATGGCCCAAGAAACTGATGTTTTTCTTTACTTTTTTCACTCTTTATTCTTATGTGGATTTTTATTTTTTTATTTATTTTTTATTTTTTATTTTTATTTTCGAGATGGAGTCTTGCTCTGTCGCCCAGGCTGGAGTGCAGTGGCGCGATCTCGGCTCACTGCAAGCTCCGCCTCCCAGGTTCACACCATTCTCCTGCCTCAGCCTCCGGAGACGGCTGAGGTGCCCACCACTACGCCCGGCTAATTTTTTGTATTTTTAGTAGAGATGGGGTTTCACCGTGTTAGCCAGGATAGTCTCAATCTCCTGACCTCGTGATCCACCCATCTCGGCCTCCCAAAGTGCTGGGATTACAGGCGTGAGCCACCGCGCCCGGCAATTATTTGTATTTCTATGTAAAAAAAGTATTTCCCCACACTGCTACAAAGTTCTAATTTTTTTTCTTGAAGAGGCACAGGGTCATGTTCTGATGCTCAGGCTGGAGTGCAGTGCTGTAATCATAGCCAATTGTCACCTCGAACTGCTGTGGGTTCAGTGATCATCTCACCTCAGCCTCCTGGGCCGCTAGGACTACAGGCACGTGCCACCATGCCCAGCTAATTTTTTTATTTTTTGGTAGAGAGAGGGTCTCGATATGTTAGCCAAGCTGGTCCCAAACTCCTGGCCTCAAGTGACCCTCCCACCTTGACCTCCCAGATCCTTGGGATTACAAGAATGCGTGACTTTGTCCAGCCAAACATATTATTTAGAGTGGCAACATGTTATTCTTTCAGTCAGCCATTCAGCAATTGTAGATGATCACATGACCATTTCCAAGTTTTTGACATATTTTAATATAAATATTAGTCCATTTTACACGGCTGTAAAGACATACCGAGACTGGGTAATTTATAAAGAAAAGAGGTTTAATTGATTTGCAGTTCTGCATGGCTGGGTAGGCCTCACAATCCTGGCAGTAGGCACCTCTTCACAGGGCGGCAGAAGAGAGAATGAGAGCAGAGCTAAGGGGGAAGCCCCAAATAAAACCATCAGATCTCGTGAGAACTCACTATCATGAGAACGGCATGGGGAAACTGCTCTCATGATTCAGTTATCTCCACCTGGTCCTGCCCTTGATACATGGGGTTTGTTACAATTCAAGGTGAGATTTGGGTGGAGACACAGAGCCAAACCATATCAAATATTTTTTTGACAAGTATCTTAACAAATTATTTGTTAATCTACTTTATACACACAATTTTTAATGCTTTCGAATGATTTCTTTCAGTTCTGAAGTACAGAATATCCCACAGGAATAAAATAATATTTTTATAGCCGGGCGTGGTGGCTCATGCCTGTAATCCCAGCACTTTGGGAGGCCGAGGTGGGCAGATCACCTGAGGTTGGGAGTTTGAGACCAGCTTGACAAACGTGAAGAAACCTCGTCTCTACTGAAAATACAAAATTAGCTGCGTGTGGTGGCGCATGCCTGTAAACCCAGCTACTCAGGAAGCCGAGGCAGGATAATTGCTTGAACCCGGGAGGCGGAGGTTGCAGTGAGCCAAGATCATACCATTGCACTCCAGCCTGGGGCAACAAGAGCGAAACTCCTTCTCAAAAAAAAGAAGAAAAAAAAAAAGAGTATTTTTATAGCCCTCAATATATTTTGCCAATAGGCTGCCCCCATCATGGATTAATGGTTAATGATTGTATTGCAGTTGCCACCATCCTGAATGACTCCAGCTTCCTCTGGCTGGTGGGCAGAGCCATGAAACTCCATTTGTGATTAATGCTGTCATCCAATATCCTGTGGAAACCATATCATATCCTTTCTGTTAGAGAGGCAGTGGTAACTCAGCTTCCAAAAAGGAAAGATTCCAACCTTGTCACCAGCAGAAACAGATGTGGGAACCTTTGATTGGAAATTGCTATAGCACTGTATCTCCACATAAATGACTGAGTCTGCTCTTTATACAGGGGGGGAAATCATTTCCTGTTCGTATTTCTTTCTGAGCCATTCTTCTAAGTCAGAATCATCCATATTTATTTTTTAATAATCTTTCATTATTCCTTTCATCTTAAGAGTATTTGAAATATTCTTGCCATTTCCTGTCTGGCCTAAACCTTAGTTTACTTTGACTTATACCATGTGGTCCTCAACTCTTTAACTGTCTGTTCTTATCAGCCAGGATTCTGGGAGATAGTAAAGTTCGCCTGGGTGCAGTATGTCAGCATCCTGCTTATCTTCCTCTGGGTGTTTGAAAGAATCAAGATCTTCGTGTTTCAGAATCAGGTGGTGACCACCATCCCTGTGACAGCAACGCCCCGGGGAGAAATGTGTAAGGAGCACTTATCCTAGGAAGGCCGTTTCTGAAGACTCGGCAGGACCGTGGCTGCCTCATTGTCATCTCCTGGGAACATCTTAGGACCTTTTGAAAGAGCCCAGAGGACACGTGCGGGCTTGTGTGCTTTTCCCCTCAGAGACAACAGTTCTTTCCAGTTTTGCTCTACACAAGTTCCGTATCTTCAGAGCTCCTGCAGAATCACCAAGGACTAGTTTGTGGAAAGGTCTGAGAGTTCCTGGAGGCTATAATTAGCTTTTTGGGTTTTCTTCCTTGCCTTAGAGTTGAATTTCAGGAGAAAATGGCAGGCAGTTCAGACATCTTGGAAAGAGTCCCATCTCTGGTCAAGCGGAGACTTTTCCTCTGTTGAACTGAGAAACACACTGTGCATTTCTTCCTTCTACTGTGAGCCACTCTTACGCTTTCCGGGGCTTTTTTGTGACAAATATGCCAATCACTAGCACTTTGCACCCCTGGGCATCTCCATTTCCCATTCAGAGCTTTGATTTCCAGAGCTGAGGCCTCTAACTGGAGACCTGGAGGGGCAGGGTCCAAGGGCAAGGGCTGCATTAGCACAGGCATGAGGGAGGGCTGCTGAAGGCGACTTGGACTGTCCACCTGCCCCAGCCCAACAGTCAGTCATCTGTAATCAGCTCGCTGAGCAGCCTTGGATCTTTGCCGAACTGTGGCTGGCTCTTCACCCTATTTTTCCCTCTCTCTGTGCCCCTGATGGCAGACTAAAGTCAGAGGGGCTGTTTCATTCCCAGCCCCCTCAGCAGCACTGAGGGAAGAAAGGATTGTCACAACAGGTTCTTTCTGGCCCTCACCCAACAGCCTGGGCACTTGGCCCTCCTCCTCCTTGACAGCCCTCCCCCTTCCTGCAAAGGACAGGGGCAATAGGAGTTGGTGTTGGGATTGGCTCCCACTGCCTGACAACCACAAGTTTATTTGGAAGGCTAGTGGGAAGCCCAGCGGCTGGCCTTTCCCTTGACTAAGGACCACAGTGCCCATCAGAGTAGGGCAGGCAGCTTTGGGAAGGACACAAGAAGCAGTGAGGGAGTAAAAAAGATGCTGGCCTGGGCAGGCCAGTCCAGCCTGGCCACTAGCAGAATGCCAAGCAGTCCAGCCAGATTACCCTCGTGGCTAAGCAAGTGTCTGCAAGAGCAGAGATGGCTGGAAGGGGCCTCTGCACACGGAAGATGGCTTGTTCAGCCCATTCATCTCCTGAGGACACGTGCAGTCTCCTCCAAGGACAGACGGAGCTGCTTTCTGATCCCAAGCAGGTCATTACCACTGAGAGGACATGGCCCCTGTGATCCGTGCTTCATGTTCACCCGGAAACGTACCCCTCAGTGTGTGCCTCAGTTTACCATGGAGATCATTATCCATCTCCAGCACCCATTTCCTTTAGGCTGACTAAAAACAATTTTTGAAACAAAGCTATTTTGAAGTATTCAAGCAGAGCAATTCCCTAATACTGTCCCCGTTGTCTTTTTTTAATATTCAGGCTATTTTAGATGCCTAAATTTTTTTCTTGATATTTATTTATTTATTTATTTTTATTTATTTATTTTGAGACAGAGTCTCGCTCTGTTTCCTGGGCTGCAGTACAGTGGCCGGATCTCAGCTCACTGCAAGCTCCGCCTCCCGGGTGTGCACCATTCTCCTGCCTCAGCCTCCCGAGTAGCTGGGACTACAGGCACCCGCCACCTCGCCCGGCTAGTTTTTTTGTATTTTTTAGTAGAGACGGGGTTTCACTGTGTTAGCCAGGATGGTCTCGATCTCCTGACCTCGTGATCCACCCGTCTCGGCCGCCCATAGTGCTGGGATTACAGGCTTGAGCCACCACGCCTAGTCCCCGATATTTATTTATTTTTAAAGATGGGGTTCTCACTATGTTGCCCAGGCTGGTCTTGAACTCCTGACCTCAGGGAATCCTCCTGTGCCAGCTTCCCAAAGTGCCAGGAATACAGGCATGAGCCAGTGTGCCCCATCTCTTAAGACTGAAATGAAAAATTGTTTGTGGTTTAAATCCCCAAAAAGTAATGAAACATGGAAAGATGACTAAAGAGATGTATAAACTTTGGTTTGCATTTTATTAAATTATTTGAATGCAAAACTTGTATAAAGAATCCGTTATGTTCTGTAGCTTTCTAACTAAAATGTTCAACATGGAAGGTTGTATTAGCTATTTTTGAAGCAGGGCTTTGGAGGGAGGAAGAATAGGGAAGGCTGAAGTTGAGCACACTTCTCCGAGTTACTCACCAACAGCTTTGCTGTGCCAGGGCTCTGCCCAAAGACCTTGGAGCTTTTGTTAGCTCCTTGGCAAAAGTTTCCTGGTCCAACCCCAAGTATATTAGGTTTTAGTGGAATCCACATGGCATATGGAAGCCACGGGTTGGAAAATTACAACTGTGTCTGGTGAATATCAAATTATTTACAGAGCATATGTTGGTAGCTTCTGAAACTGAACCACACAGCATAGTTGCAGGAGGAAGAAAGGTAAGAAATACACAGGATTTTATCAACTGAGCTGAAGCCATAGATCAGTCATATTTGAGATAATTATTGAATTTTTTTGTGGGAGAGAAATCCCTAATTCTTCCAAATGATTAGTCCAGTTTCTGCCAAAGCAGGTGAGTTGTCTAATGCCCCACTGAGTGCCCATCTTGCAGCTTATTAAAGCAATTCTATCTCTTTGCCTCCCTCTTACCCTATTCTCCACATCCTCTCCCCTCTCCTTTTTCATGCTTTGTAAAAAGGTTTTGGATCTTTCTGGCCAGATGACTTCTAAATGCCGATTAAGGAAATGTAAATTACATGATCCTAAGGAAAATAATAATTGCTGGCCAATCTCCTACCCAGAGTTATCATGGTTGGCCTTCTGGCACATATCTTTCTGTTCTGTACACTATTTCTAACTTTTTAAAAATCATGAACAGGCCGGGCACGGTGGCTCATGCCTGTAATCCCAGCACTTTGGGAAGCAGAGGCGGGCGGCTCACCTGAGCTCAGGAGTTCAAGACCAGCCCAGACAACATGGTGAAACCCTGTCTCTACTAAAAGTACAAAAATTAGCCTGGCGTGGTGGTGGGCGCCTGTAATCCCAGCTACTCAGGAAGCTGAGGCAAGAGAATCACTTGAACTTGGGAGGCGGAGGTTGCAGTGAGCCTAGATCCCGCCATTGCACTCCAGCCTGGGCTACAAGAGACTCTGTCTCAAAAAAATGAATATCAAAATCATGAGCAACACTTACGTGAACCCTGTACATAAATCCTTGTTTCTGGTTTATTTCCTTAAGATAGATCCTAGAAAGGAATTACCAATCCAAAAAGCTTATGACCATTGTTAAGAATCTTAATTTATCGTGTCAAACCACAACCGAGAAAGACTGCGCATTTCTTCTCCCAGCAGCCGGGAGTTCGTAAGATCCCATCACTATTTAACAAGACCTCGAAATGTGTCATCCTTTTCAGATGCCTGGGCTCTGCCGTTATTTGTAAGGGGGAGTTTTGTTTTTTTTTTTGGAGACAGAGTCTCGCCCTGTCGCCCAGGCTGGAGTGCGATGGTGCAATCTCAGCTCACCGCAACCTCCGCCTCCCGGGCTCAAGCAATTCTCCTGCCTCAGCCTCCTAAGTACCTAGGATTACAGGCGCCTGCCAGCACGCCCGGCTCATTCTTGAATTTTTAGTAGAGACGGGGTTTCACCCTGTTGGCCAGGCTGGTCTCGAACTCCTGACCTCGTGATCCATCGGCTACGGCCCCCCAAAGCGCTGGGATTACAGGCGTGAGCCACCGCGCCCGGCCCTGGCTGGAAATATCTTATTTGTTGAAACGTATCATTTCTTCATCTGGACCTGCTATGAAGCCTGCGCCTCTGGGCTTAGGCTAGGGCAGGGAATGTGCAGGAGGAGGGGAAAAGCTGCGGGTCCAGCTGCTAAGATCACCTGGTCTATCCGCCCCTCCCAGCTGGGACACTGCACCGGGTCCCTGTGTCATCCAGTGTCATCCAGGTGCCGTGGCCTTGGGAAGGGTTTGGATTCCAAGTCACCTCCCCTCAAGGATGCCCCCGAGAGTGAGGAGGGCCAAGATTAAGATTCGACTTCCTTCGCTAGGACCTTTATCCTCCCAGGAGTCTCCCTTCTCTGGGGATTTAGGGTGGGGTGGGGTACAACGTTCATTTGTAGTCAGATGAGAGGTGACCCTGCCAGCGCCCCTTGACATCCTCGGCTAAAAGGTGCGCCTCTCAGGGCCCCAGCCCCACTGGGCCCTTCTGCCCCGCCCTTGGTCAGCGCCCCTCCCCCGAGGCGTGGCCCCTCGGTCGGGGAGGTGGGCCAACAGGCTCCTTCCTTCCCGTAGCTCGCTAGCTCCCGCCGGCCACCCCGGGACCGCAGCCACGTCTGAAAGCGCCTCATTGTGTGCGCTCGGGCGCGCTGCGCAGGGCAGCACCGAGGGTTGCTGGCCGGCGCGCGGGGAGTAGAGGGCGCGGGCCGCAGTGCCGGGCTCCGGAGGGAGCTCTGCGCCGCGTCCTTCCCTGTGGTAGCCCCAGGGCACCCCCCATCCTTAACATCCCATTCTGGGACTCCTGCCCTGTTCCCAGATTGGCTCTGCCTCTAGTCTCCAGGAGCTTCCAGTGGATTGGTCCCCGCCCCCCAACTCTCGTCCATACCTCTTAGAGCCCCTTTCCCGGCCTCACCCGGTGTCCGTTAATAGTCTTGGGACCTTATGGAGCAAGTCAGCCCCTGTGGACTCTCCCAGTGAAGAGAAAAAGCTGGCTGTGCGGTGGAACTTGGAAGAGAGACTTCTGGGAGCCTTTGCTGAGCCCAGGGAGGGAGGCGTCCGCCACCGTGCCGCTCCTGCTCGGGCAGAGCCGCCAAGCTTTGAGGTGCGTTGGTTCTCCACTCTCTACGGGGGATGTCCCCACACTCAGGTCGGCTGAGGGGTGGGCTCCTCTGGCCTGCACCGGAGACCTGGGGTGACGGGAAGAAGTAAGGGTGGCTTTTCCATCAGCAACGTGGAAAGGGCATCGCCACTGTTGGTGCCGGTTTGGAAGAGTCTTGCTGGGGCTTCGGCTACGCAGGGGGATCCTCACTGCGAGGGGAGAACCCCTTTTGTCTCGATACTTGAGTTTCAAAGGACATGACTTTCAAAAGCTTTCCAACGGCTTTTTCCATAGAATTACTGAGAAACAGTAGCTTGGTGGGTTGATTTGGAACCAGACCCAGGGGAATTGGAGTCCTGCGTCACTGCTTCTGACGGCTTCATCCTGGGCTTCAGGACAGGCCCTCTGGGCCTCAGGACAGGTGCCTAGCAAATGTTGACTTTCCTTTCTCCTCCCTCTTTCACAGAGGCAAGGCAGTCGTTTCCCATTTCTGAGGGTAGGAAAACTGAGGCCTGAAGACCAGAAAGGACTCGACTGACTTAAACCCACAAGCGCGTGGGCCAAGTATGAGGGCCTCTGAGGGTGTTGTGTTGCTGGGGGAGCCGGGGCTGGGCTCCTCTGCAGCCTGGGAGGCCGGGACTTTTCTGGCTTTGTCCTACAAACAGAGTCAATTGGAGCACGGAGAGCCAGAGAGTGACTTGCTCGAAGTCACACCCCTCATTGGTATTAGAGACAGACTGAACCCAATCTGGCTTCAGAAACCAAGCTTCTAAAGCCAGGTGCAGTGGCTCACGCCTGTAATCCCAGCACTTTGGGAGACGGAGGCAGCTGGATCACCTGAGGTCAGGAGTTCAAAACCAGCCTGGCCAACATGGTGAACCCCCATCTCTACTAAAACTACAAAAATTAGCTGGTCATGGTGGCAAGTGCCTGTAATCCCAGCTACTTGGGAGGCTGAGGCAGAAGAATCACTTGAACCCAGAAGGCAGAGGTTGCAGTGAGCCAAGATTGTGCCACTGCACTCCAGCCTGGGCAACAGAGCGAGACTCCATCTCAGAAAAAAAGGAAGCCAGGCCTCTAGCCATGACTGTCCAGCGTCTTCTGTTTTGTTTGTCCTTGTGGGGCCCCTGCCTGTGCCTGCCACATTCTGTTGCTGGGGCACTGGGGCACCTGAATCTGGTAGAGCCATTGTCCTTGGGTTTTCCTGGTTCAAAGACTTTCCCTTGGATTCACAGAATATAAGTGTGGCCCAGGAAGATTCCTAAGCAAATACTCATAAATGCACTGTGCGTCAGACATTGTTCTGCTTTACAAATATCCACTCACTCACTCTTTTAATCAAGCCCATGAGTTGGGTTATGTTGTTTCCCCCACTTCACAGATTTTTTTTTTTTTCTTTTTTGAGATGGAGTCTCACTCTGTCACCGAGGCTGGAGTGCAGTGACATGATCTCGGCTCACTGCAACCTCCCCACCTCCCAGGTTCAAGAGATTCTCCTGCCTCAGCCTCCTGAGTAGCTGGGATTACAGGTGTCCACCACCACGCCTGGCTAATTTTTATATTTGTAGTAAAGACAGGGTTTCGCCATGTTGGTCAGGCTGGTCTCGAACTCCTGACCTCGTAATCCGCCCTCCTCCGCCTTCCAAAGTGCTGGGATTACAGGTGTGAGCCACCGCACCCAGCCTTACAGATTTTTTTTAACCAAGCAGGCACAGAGAGAAGTAACTTGCACAAGATCACGTAGTAAATGGTCAAGTGGGATTCACACTCTTAACCTCAGTACTCTATACCTACTGTCTTTAATGAGACAGAAACCATTCTGCTTCTAGTGTCTTAGGAGGGGAGATGGGTCCAGAAATACATGAACAAGATTGTCCTGCATAGTGATAATAGTATTAATAATAATTTCTCAATATCACGTCTTAGTCAATATCGAAATATATCTGATTACCTCTAGGGTATCTCCTGGCAGATGTTTTTTTCAAATCAGAATCCAAACAAGGTCCACATGTTGCATTTTACTGTTTTTTTGTGTGTTTTTCTTTTTGAGAAGGAGTCTCGCTCTGTCACCCAGACTGGAGTGCAGTGGCGTGATCTCAGCTCACTGTAGCCTCGGACTCCCGGGCTCCAGTGATTCTCCTGCTTCAGCCTCCTGAGTAGCTAGGATTACAAGCACATGCCACTAGGCCCGGCTATTTTTTGTGTATTTAGTAAAGACGGGGTTTTCACCGTGTTTGGCCAGGCTGGTCTCCAACTCCTGACATCAGGTGATTTGTCCGTCTTGGCCTCCCACAGTGCTGGGATTACAGGCATGAGCCACTGCCCTCAGCCTGTTATTTTCTTCTAAAATAGTCTCTTCCTTTTTCTTTCTGTTATTGATTTGAAAGAATGATTTTCTTTTTAAAAATAAGGTAATTAAAATAAATGGTTAATAAACCAGAGAACATTCCAGATTATCCCTGTAATGAGAGGGCTCTGTCACTACTTAGGGAAACAGGCGAATGTGCTAAAAGTACAATCCCACTCCATACCCTGCGTGTGTTGCTGCAGAGAAGAAGTGGGGAGCCCTCAGACTTTATGGCCTCCAGCTGTAACGTACTACAATTTAGACCAAGTCAGGTGCTGTGTGAAGTGCAGTGTGAGAATCCCTAAAGCTCCCAGCCAGGGAAAAGGGTTCGTGTGTTGCTATCTGGTCATCTGCTCAGAAATGCCCCAGGGCAGTGGCTCTGAGCCAGGGAGGCTTGAGGTTCGCTTCCCAGGCTAATTAGAATTCATTTCCCAGTAGATTCTTGAAGGCAGATCTGTTCTCTCCATCAGCATCTGGGCCTTGCAGTCCCAGCCCCCTGCCTCTGGGGGATGCCATGCAGCCGCATCACCAGGACTGGCAGAGATGGCAGATGTGGCCAGGGCTTGGGGGCCAGGCACAGCTTCAGCCACAGCCTGGCCCAGCCCACAGTCCTGGGGTTAAGAGTGTGCTTGGGGGCTCTGACAACTTTTAGTGCAGAGTGGGTAATTCATGCCCCTGGCCTTCTCTGGCTAACTGGGTACTCAGGTCGGCTGGGAGATGGATTTGCAGGCATGTGTCTCTCTGCAGTGATAGCTGGAGAAAGACAAACTTCACCTAAGCCTCCTTTAACCAATTAGAAATTTCTGATTTTATCATTGTAATAATCTTTGTAATTGTATTTTATCATTGTAATAAAAATCTGACATAGACTATCTGGAAAATGCAGCAAAGCACTAATAAGAAAATAAATTACCTATAAACTGGCCATAGAAAAACACTAAACTTCAGTGTACATCTCCCATACTTCGTATTTTTTTTAAATAATAGCTTTATTGAGATAGAATTCAGGTATGTTGAAGTTTATATATATAATATACATATAATATATAAATAAATATATATTATATATACACATAATATATAAATATA